ATCCCAGTGGTTATTTAAACAATGGCTCCAACACAACTCCAAGAAATCAGGTAAATTGGGAATGTTCACATTGTTGGATTTGTTTATTTTTGTGAATAAATGCAGCAAAAGTCTTGATGCGTCGTATTCATATCTATGACAATACACAACTTTATCCATTTTATACTCAGTTCCACACTCCTGTCTCTTTTCAACACAACCATCTCCAACAGGTCTATGAACATAGATAGTACCAGGCATCTTTAATGTATATCTGTGTCATTTACTTCCTCATTAAGCCTATGAACACTTACTGGGTGCCTATTAAATGCCAAAAGCTGTGCCAGTGAACAAATAAACAGTCCCTGCACCCATGGAGTTTACCACTATCCAGGAGAGGACAGAGGTAATTACTTAAAGTACATTTATGGGCTCGGCACCTGTACCTCAGAGGCTAGGGCACCAGCCACATACACCAGAGCTAGCAAGTTTGAACCCAGCCCAGGCTGCCAAACAATGATAACTACAACCAAAAAATAACTGGGCTTTGTGGCAGGTGCCTGTAGTCCCAGCTACTTGGGAGGCTGAGGCAAGAGAATCACTCAAGCTCAAGAGTTGGAGGTTGCTGTGAGTTGTGATGCCACAGCATTCTAAAAACAAAAAACAACAAAAAAGTACATTTATGGCTGAGCATTGCGGCTCATTCCTGCAATGCTAGCATCCTGGGAGGCTGAGGCAGGTAGATTGCTTGAGCTCAGGAGTTGCAGTGAGACCCCCATCTCTACTAAAAATAGAAAAATCAGCCAGGCATGGTGGCAGGCACCTGTACTTCCAGCAACTTGGGAGGCTGAGGCAGGTTTGCTCGAGCTCAAGAGCTTGAAGTTGCTGTGAGATATGAGGCCACGGCACTCAACCCAGAGCAACAGAGTGGGACTCTGTCTCTAAATAAATAAATAAAGTGCAGTTATGACAAGTGCTTCAAAGGATAACCCTGGGGGAGCGAAGAGCTTATCTAGCCTGCCTGGGAGCTTAGGAAAAGTACCTTGAGGGATACACAATGTTGAAGAAGCAACACTTGCTCGGGCAATGAGCAGGAGCAGGAGCTGGCCAGGGAGATACAGGGGTAGGAGCAGAGGCCAGAGAGAGACCAGGGGAAAGAGCAGAGGCCACAGAAGGTCCACTGGGACAGGGTGGAGGGAGGTGGGGAGCAGAAAATATGGCTGGAGCACAAGAGAACAAGACTAAAAGAGTCTTGTTTACAAGAGTAAAATGACATTCGAGTAGTTTGGGGGAAACTACACAGGGCCTTAAATGCCAAGTAAGGCCCAAACACCACACCACACACCTTAAATAGATAAGGTTTCAATTTAAAAATTTATTTTGCTTAGAAGGAACAACGGGCAACAATGAAAGAGCTTATGGAAGAGAAATAAACACCCAGGTTTACCCACTGAGATCACTGTAGCTACCTCCAGAAATGGAAGGAAGGGTGGAGAAGGTGCCGATTATTATAACTTTCAAAAAAAGGCAAAGTCACAACTCTCAGACAAATGTAATAGCAACGTACATCAAAGACGAGGGAACCAGCAAGATTTAGTAGCAAGATCAAAGGAGAATGGGAAGAAACAGGTGTTTACACACAAAAAGATGGAAAACTGAAGGAAACTTACCATAGATGCAAAAACTGGTCTATTCAAAGGGCAGTAACCAATTTCATTCCAACTAATCTACATTTTTATGGATAAGAATCATTTGCATTATTATCTATTATCCACAACCTACACAGTAGTAAAGGACCTCAGAAATAATAAAAGGCAGAGATAACCCAGATGACTAAGCTAGAATAGACATCCATTCATCTTGGCCCATTTTAAAGTCTTTCACAATCTTTTCCAACACAGATAATAGTGCCTTGGAAAAGGGTGGTATCAGTGAAGACAGAGAGAGGTAGGCAATTTTTGAATGCACAGAGGTACTGGAATGAACAAAACCTGGTGTTTGATAGAGACTTTGGATGGGAGGGGACCACAAAGGAAATGTTGAGGCAAATATCTGTTTTTAAACAAATTCCTAAGTGGCAAAACGATGGCACTGGTGAATTTCTCAGCACAGGGGCCCTGCTGTTCTATAAAGGGACCCAGGAAAGTAAGGAGACCAGTGAATATTTATATTCTAAAGTATAATGTTGATGAATACCACAATATACATCAAAGGACGTGGATAATAAAGAAACAAAACAGGCTCGGCGCCTATAGCTCAACCGGCTAAGGCGCCAGCCACGTACACCTAAGGTGGCGGGTTCGAATCCCCAGCCCGGACCCACCAAACAACAATAATGGCTGCAACCAAAAAAATGGCCGGGTGTTGTGGCGGGCGCCTGTGGTCCCAGCTACTTGGGAGGCAGAGGCAGGAAACTCGCTTGAGCCCAGGAGTTGGAGGTTGCTATGAGCTGTAATGCCATGACACTCTACCCAGGGGGACAGCTTGAGGCTCTGTCTCAAAAAAAAAAAAAAAAAAAACAAAACAAAATTCATTCCCGCCAACATGATTTGTGTGTGTGTGTGTATGTGTGTGTGGAAGTGCTCGCACTAGACTCTGGGTTACCTACTGACACCCTGCACAGACACATCCTTTTCCCAGCACAGCAAGGGTTAAGCAGCATGGACATCTAAGGAAATCTCCCAGTCTAGAAATGGGCTACTCCTTCTTCTGCCACGCCCAGTGGGAAGCAGCCCAATTTGTGGGCTTAAGAAAGCTAGGGGAAAGAAAGAATAGCATAGATGAAGTTGAAAGTCACTGCTTCCATCTCATTATATCCAGATACTCATAATTTCTTGGATAAATTCCTCCCAGATTTTGATTCCTCACTAAAAGCCATTCAAAAGGAAAAGCTTTCAGGACCAATCCACTTTGGATACTTTTTCTCGAAATAAAAACAAGCTTTTAGCTTCTGTGCCAATGTGTATAACTAGAACTTTCATTAAAAATGGTAAAAATTACTGAATCCTTTCTATTGTGTTGGCAAGCATTACAAGCATCCCAAGGCAAATAATTTACATGGGATGTAAAGCCCCCATTTGTGCTGCAAAATAATGTACATTATAAATATACACATTCAAATATCAAGTTCATTTACTAAACTAGTCTGGTGCTACTCGATTCTGTTTTGAAGACTTTTTAAAGATGTCAGTGACCTACCATGAATACTGAGAAATTTATTTTCAGTTATTCTTTCCCAATTGTCATCTCTATTTTTCTACATACCTTACACATCCTCTCATGCTATCTCTCTCCCTTTTTCATAAATTGGTACAAAAGTAATTCAGCCATTTCAAATGTTCCCTAAACTTAAGTCTACTAAGACCACGATGCTTTCAAATTGATCTCTGAAAGTGGTTCTAAGGCAATTCTTCCCCATGACTGAATTAAGCAGCTAAATATTAAGTCTGCTTCACTTGTTCCACCACGTTATCCTCCCCAAATACCAGGATGAATAATCTCGCCCATATGAGTCCTCACGAGACCGCTGGGATACAACAGCTCACACCCAGCCTCTCCCAGCTACTAAAACTCTGTTTCCCAGAATATGGTCACGTGCCATATTCAAAAGTTTTGAATACAGTCAAGTCCAAACACATGCAGTTACCTGTGTCTCTAGAATAAAACAATTTAAATTTTACCAAAAGACGCTGAGTTAGCTTTGGAATAATCCTACACGTCAAATCACCAATTCTGTAAGCACTTCTGTGTTTAAATTCTCCATACTCTTAACTCTTCTGTCCCAGTCAGTTCTCGCATTCCTTACATTCTCAGAGGCAAGATGAAAGATCCCTCAACTTAATGGTTTCCAGAGAGAAGAGGGTGGGAGGGTGGGAGGGAATAAAGAAGGAAAAATTACTTTACGGGTATGATGTATAATTTTCAGATGATGGTCACACAAAAGCCCAGACTTCACCACTACCTGCCCCAGCCATGTAAAAAAATGCACCTGTGCCTCCCTGAATGTTTGAAAATCTAAAAAATAAAAACAACAAAACTGTTTTTAAATATCCCTCAACAAAAACTTATAAAACCTAGGACATATCACAATCAATCAACTATAACTATTGGGACACAGAGCAATGTTTAAACAGTCCTGGCAGTCAAAAGTAACCTTAAAATATCTTCATTTTTCCTCAAAGAAGTACCACTGTTAAATTTCCTGACCTTACAACTTTCTCAAATAGAAAATACTGAAAAATAACTATTAATTAAAGTAGCTTTCATACTATTTAGAAGACTGCAAGACTATGTCTCTGAGCAATCTTTATTTTTCATCTTGCTATGATAGAGTTCTATAATCCATTAATCTGAACTCTCCTCCTACCCCTTAACAATTAGTAGCTGAAATCCCAATTTCAATCACTAAAGAATAATCACATTAGAACAAATTTGAAAATAGCACTGCAATTCCTCTCTCCCACCTGCTCTGCCCCTAAAAAAATGTATTGATCAGAGCATCGATTGTGTTCCAAGTGGTTAGAAATGTTGAGAACAGGTCCTTGGGGGGAAAAACTGAGGAAGTATACAAGGGAAGAATCAACATTATTAGCCACATCCAGAGGGATAAAAACCCTCAACAGTTTTGACAGGGCAGAGAGGCTGCCTGACTGGTAACAACTTGGTTTTACCCTGGCAAAATGAAACCATCGTTCTTTTAAGTAAGTGAACCCCAAACTTTCCCAACAGGGTATTCATTTCCTTGTGCCCAGGATTCACAGAACCAAAAGCAGGAAAACTGTTGGCATATGTATCTGGAGGTGGCCGGGTAGAAGTAAAAAGCATCATAGAAACTGTTCACTTTAGAATCTCCACTGAAGCATATTTTAGAAGAGAATTAAAGAAGGGCACCTAGATCTACATGTCAGAAGACTGCCGTTAGATCACATTTCATGGGGAAATTCTGCTGCACTTCCAACCAAACTCCACCAATCACAATAAGACATGTGAACCGTTGTAAAGGTTTTAAAGGTCTTGGTTACCTTTGAAAAGCGAGCGTTGATCCATTTGGTAAAAGTTTTCTTCTGTACATCATTGTGCTCATCTGTGGGAGGGAAAAAGAGAGAGGGGAAAGTGTTAGAGTTTGTACTTTTTGTAGGGCACTAAATAAGCTTATCTCTATCCTGGGGAGTTTAAAATAGTCCTGTGAGTGAGGCTCATGGGGCACGAGGAAGCAGAGCTAATGCAGAACGTGACGTCCGCCCAGTTCTCACCGACACAGCCTGACGGCACCTGCAACCCTGCAGCGCAGTGAGGCTCGGGCACCTCTCCCAAGGGACCTGGCGGTCTCACCCTAAGCTGAGCATATAGCTGCCAGCTACTTAAATCCAGCTTTATAAGATATAATCACGATCTGACTTTCTCTTACACAGGATATTTTCTGTTGCATTTTGTTTAAGTAAAATTTCAGCAGGACCAAAATGTTAGCATGTTCAAAACAAAAATCAAAGTTGTTCAAAAAGACAAATGAATTCATAACTTCCTTCCTTTGAATACCGACCCTCCACCCTCCAGAACAATAGTACATGATTTAGGGTCAATTCTGTAACCCATTTTCCTACAATAGGACTGAGAAACAGTTTGAACGATCCTAATCTATACGAAGATTTTATAGACAGAGAAACCAGAGGCACTCAAAAACATCACCCGCTTTGGTTTTCATTACAAGTTCATTTTCTAGGCCACCACAAGTGACATTGACCCTAAAAAACAAAAGTACCCTAAATCTCTTGAAGATGGTCAGAATGATTTGGTCACATACACGGAGGCTTTGTGGCATGACAAAAAGAGCAAAGGGACTTCAGAACCAAACAGCCCACACTCCAAGGCACTTACGGTGTGACCTTGGATAAGTCATTATAACGTCTCCTGCCTCATAGATCTCACCTGTAAAATGAGGAAAAATCATACCAGCTTTCAAGGGAATTGTAAAGATTAGTGAATGTAAGTGGAAAACACTTGACAAACAGCTGGTGTTCAGGTCATGGTTAGGATTAAATTAAAAGTGTAGGCAAGGCAGATAAATAAACATGCACTTGATCCCTTTCTCTTATTTCAATTACTCCCTTTTCAACCTTTCCCCAGTTTTCTATTAAAACCAGCAAAAAACATCATTTTTGGCCCAAAGCCTACAAAGTAGCATTGTAATCTGTAAGTAGTTCTGAACCTCCCAAGAATATCTGGATCAGTGCAGAAAGCCGTGGTTCCATCTGTATGGGTTACTGCCTGGATAGCCACCATCCACACCACCAATGCCTCCACATCATAACAGCAGAATAATAAAGAAAGAGCCTCAAGTGTGGTCTGCCCTGCACGCGTCAAACCCAAAGGGGCTGCTGTCTCCACAGCGCATACAAACACGCACCTTCTCACAGACCCCTAGCAGGATAATCAGAAGTTCACCTCCTACTTCACTAAGTTCACGTATCTTTGGTCCTTACCCCATTCTGGAAGGACAGTTTGTAATTAAAAGGTCATTCCTAGAATAAATATATCAGCGGCTTCAGAAAAGAGTCCAGGTCCACAGATCCATAAAGGTAATTGGAGACTGACTCCAAGACACTAAGGGAGCCGCGATAGAGGACACAAAACTGCTCTCTAAGAAACTTCTGGATGTTAATGGTATTGAGAGGTGACCTTCCTTCCAGAAAGGACAATGAAGACAGCCATCACCCCCTATTTCAGGTTTTCTACCACCCGCTCAATGCCTCACATAGGCCATTCATCAACCAAGAGCACTTGCTTACATACTGAAGATCTGAGCCTTTACCCAAGCGGGGATTATACGCAGAACATAAGGCCACCACCACACTTGAACCTGCAGAGGGCGCTATACCAGACTCACCAAAATGAATTAAGTATTAAATATCAGTGTTCGAGGAGCTTGGAAAATCCAATTATTTGTCCCACTAGATTCAAAAGGATTTATTTTATAAACTTTTCCATATCTATTATTCTTTCATCCTATTGATAAAAAACATAGAAATGTCATAAATTAATATTAAATTCTCTTAGTTTCATAACATGCATATGACTTAAGAATTTAGGGCCATAAAAATGGCAAAAAAAAAAAATCTAAGGGAAAATATTACGCTTCATGTTTTCTTCACATAAATGCTCTTCAGAGCACTTAACTCAATTTTGAAAACATATTAAAATACTGGATGCTTACATTTGAAACTTACTAAACGTAGAATATAAATGTCTTAACACAATAACTAGAAAATGCCGTGAAGGCTATGTTAACTAGTTTGATGAAAACATTTCAAATTTTATATAAAACCAGCACATTGTACCCCATGACTGCATTAAAAAAAATGTGCAAAAAATAAAATAAAATAAAATACTTGATGCTATCTATGTAGGTTTCTCTCCTGATAAAAAGTTGATAAAGAAATGAGCATCTGTTATCAAATTACAAATAAGGTCTTTCTATTTTATCATATGTATGATAAAATCAAAATTTAAAGTGGATTTCCCCCTATACAGAAGTATTTATAAAAATTAACAAGGTAAAGTTTCTATAAAAGTCTTTATTCTTTGGGCATAATCAATATCTGAATAGGAATCTAAGTAACTGATAAAGTATTTGCTTGTACAGCAGGTCGTGGTGGCTCACACCTGTACTCTGGGAGGCCAAGGTAGGAGGGTTCCTTAATCCTCAGAAGTTCAAAACCAGCCTGAGCCATAGGGAGATGCCCATCTCTACTAAAAATAGAAAAAAATAACCCCGCATTTTAGCAGGCAACTGTAATTCCAGCCACTCAGGAGGCTGAAGCAGGGAGATCTCTTGAATCCAGGAATTTGAGGTTGCTGTGAGTTAGGCTGATGCCATGGCACTCTAGCCCAGGCAACAGAATGAGAGTCTGTCTCCAAAAAAAAAAAAAAAAATGCATTTGCCTGTAAAAGAAAAATTGTCTGACATCCAAGTGTTTCAAAAATACTCCAAAATTTATAAACACTTCTGCATTCATTTTCCTAATATAGTTAAAAAGGGGAGAAAATGGGATTCATATTTCTATAAGCCTTTAGTTTGTGTTCTTCTCTTCTCAGACATACACACCCACCCACCTTGTTTTCTATCAGACACAAATTCAACAAAAGAACAAGAATTACCCTGTGGCCTTTCAATTATGAGATAAAAAACGCAATACATTTGGAACACTGACAAGTATATAACTGACCTCCACTTCCACATCAGGAAAACTAAGGTAAATAACCTTGGCCCAGCTCTCTGTATCAGACCAGTGGAAACAGACTAGCACACTGGTAATAGAGCGAATAAAAATCTGCATGCTATTCTGATCCATCATTTTATCCTCTAAGAAGTTTATACAGAACTTCAACAGCATCAAATTATTTCAACACTCTCCATCAAGCCAATTAGTTCTGTCAATTTCTACAAAGCAAAAATATATATGTAGACAACAAACTTATATATACCATGATTATTTATACGCAATTCATTTATATATGATTCTTTATGCATGAAATGAGTAAAAATAATTTACACCGCCAATCCATCTTTTCCTGATGTATTCTTTCGGGTTTTTAAACTCGAACAACTATTTTCTTTGGATTTGGATTTGGGAGACCCATTCCGCTTCTGAAAGCCTTTGCGGGCTTAGCAAATCTTATCCATTAAGGATCTTTCTCTGTTAGAGGGACAAACACGAGACTGAATTAGGAGAAGAAAAATGTGTTAAATCCCTCAAGGCTGCTTTTCCAAATTCTTCCTCTAAATATTTTGCTCTTCTTAAAATGCTTCTGACAAGCTCACGCAGATCCAAGGGCCTTCCCTGCGGCCTCGCCTGGAATTTTGTTTCAGTGGAAGGAGAAAAAAAGCAACGAAACTATTTGATACATCTTGAAGGAAAGGAGTTTGAAAATGTTTTCACTTCGCCAGTTCAAATGCGCATCAGAAATTCTTTTGGCAGAACTTAGTAACAAATCTCCATTTAAACCCTCAACTGGAAACGTGGCAGAGAAATTAGGAGTCGTTGCCCCCCACAGAAGCACACAAATCTTGGGAAGATGTACACCACCCCTAAAGCTCACTGCTCTTAGGGGGAGCGCATTATCCCCCGGTAAATCTTTCCAAGCAATTTCAGAGCGTCCAATTGGCTGGCACTAACCTGAGCTCCATAAAACGCAGCTATTCAGAAAAGAAGCCCCTAGTCTTGAAGCCAAAAAAGAAATGTCTCGTTGGATGATTTAAAACTTAGATTGATTTTTATCGAGGCCTCTTTCACAAACACGAAATTTAACACAGCCTAGAAAGCCAGTTTCACATTAGCAAAAAAGATTATTTCAGAAGCATTTCAGACTAGGCGCCCGCATCTTTTCCTGGGTACTGCATGCGAATCACCCCCACTATAAATCCACTTCTCAGACAGAGTTCACACCGTTCTACTCGCTTCCTCGTGCCTGATTTGTTGCTGTCTGAACAACAGCACTTCATTTATTCAAACAATATGTACCAAAATGTCACATGGAAATAATAAATGCTATATAACAATCTGTAAAAAAACTACAAATAGGTAGAAAAAGAAAAAAAACAGAGCCGAAATGACACAGACTGCCTTCGAGCTGAGTGCTGAAACTCCCTAAGGTTTTCAAAATCTGACATTTTCAGAGGACCCCCCCAAAAGCCTAAAACTAAAAAAGTACTTTTCAGTCTCAAAACTACCTAAGTTTACAAGAAATTTAGATAATTAACATTCCAAATGATATTTCTGTAAGTTTGCTGCACTTACACATTGAGGTTATCAAAGCTTTAAACTGCATTTTTTTTTTTTTTTTTTAAAGAGACAGGGTTTCCGTCACCCAGGCTGAAGTTCTCACTGTAACCTCAGATACCTGGACTCGAGCAATCCTCCTCCGGAGTGAGTGAGACCACAGGTACAGGCCTCCACACTCGGATTATTTTTTAATATTTTGCAGAGACAGGGTCTCACTATGTTCCCAGGCTAGTGTCAAACTCCTGGCCTCAAGTGATCCTCCCGTCTCAGCCTCCCAAAGCACTGGGACCAGAGACGTGAGCAC